GAATGCATATATATATATATATGGCATTCATTGTTTCTGAGTAAATCTTGAAGCTTTTGTTTCCTTCCTTATGAAAAGGCAAATGATTTTTGAGACAAAAGATATGACCCAGACTAATAAAAAAACAACTGGCAAATGTTACATGCATATATATGATGATGGCTATACTTTTATGCATGTAAAGCTTGTTGTCCATTGATTGCTATGAAAGCAACAATTAGTACCACCCAAAAGAGGCATCCAAAGACACATACATGGATGGTTAAAGTGTTTTTTTACCTTTCCTTTTGTTGGGCAGAAAGCTAAGGGAAAAAGAGGTTCTTCAATTCTGTTCTGTATTATCTATATCTAATCATGATTCGCATAAAAATACACAGAAAGATATCGATGGTGGTGGCAGGCAGAACAGAGAGAGAGAGAGAGAGAGAGAGAGAGCACCCACACCACACTATTATACAGTATACTGCTGCAGTGCACAGCACATGCGAGGTGAGTCGCACTCGCATGATCCATGTTTCAATTCAATACCCCAATTAATATAATATTGAAATAAATATGCTTCGATCGAGTTATGGAATGGAATCACGATGACTTTTTGGCGTTTTAGTCCTAATATAATTGGAATTAAAAACCAAAAAGATTCTGCCTTCTTCACAATTTCAGTGGCATCCAATTAATTAATATGATGATTGTATATATAATATTAATTAATTAAACAAGGGTGTTGGTTGTGTTGTGCTGGAGCCTCAGAGCCTCAGAGCCTCAGAGCCTGGGGAAAGGATCAAAGCACAATTAAAACGGGAGGTTGAGGTTGAGAATAAGATTGGTTGGCTTGGTGAGTTATAATAATTATGTTAATTACATCGATCAAGTCATGTCTCCCTACCCAAATAGAAATAGGGAAAAGTATTATGAATGATGTTTGTTATCCAAGGTTACCTAGTTCAATTCTCCACGACACTCATTTAAAGGAAGAAAAGTAATAAAGCAAAGGATTAACAGATGCATGTGGATGAGTTAGCTTAGTGGCGTAGAATGCTGACTTTCTTTTCTTACATTTTGTCTGTCTCTGTGATCTGTGATGTGAATCGGCTTTAATTAATAATTAGTCATTGTTTGTGGTAGGGCCGTACTTTAATTTCCACAAGAAATATTGTTCAAATCAAATGCCCGTTATTCTTTGGCTTTTTCCGTGAAAGTTTTTTTGTGCCTAACACCTAAATTTACTTAATTCCCTTTGTAAGAGATTTGTGTCAACTTGTCAAGGGAGGGTGCACCGCACTGTATGGCAACTCAGAAGCAACTACCCTGACCCTGAAGCTAGCTTCTCCTGGAGCCAGAGGCCCAATAGAAGCAAGATTGATTAAGCGGACCTAGCTCCAGCTCTAGGCCCTGAATTAATCCATAACTCCCAGGCCCATCAAACATACTACAAAACAAAAGGAGGGTTGTTAATTAACAGCTTAATTATATAGAATTAAAAACTAACAGCAGGAGCAAGCACGTACGTGCTACGTATGGTGTGGGTTGGTGAAACAGAATTATCAAGTGCAGTGCAGGGTTGATGGTTAATTATGAAGCTAATCCCGCAACACTCGTTGGTTCCCTCATTTCAATACTCCTATCCAAATTGAATTTTCTTAATTTGTTTCTAATTTCCTCTTCACAATATTGGACAGAGCAATCCATCGACACTTTAAACTCACATTAATTATTAATTTTGATTCATTATATATATTTATTTATCTGAGAGGCTGCTGATCGAATTAATGATCGCTCTCCCTCCCAACCTCTCCATCTGGTTTTGATCATCTCTTCTTCCCTATTCATGTCTGTCCTCCTCTTCCTTGTTGTGCATATCCATCTATAGTTTCCTTCGGATATCCATGGGTTGCGGCATTTCCAAGTTGGGGGCTAACGCTCATCAACATCATCAGCATGACCACCTAACTACTTCTTCTGCTTGTGAATCTAATAATTATAATATTGGCAAGGATCCAGAACGGGGCATGCATGACTATGGCGAGGAGGATGACATGATGATGAAGGAGAAAGAGAGATCAGGGCGGGTGGAGAAGGTGGTCAAAGAGGAGGGTAGAATAAAGGAGGGGCACCCACATGCACATGCACATGCACATGCAGGCCTAGGGTTAGGGAAGGGAGGCCGCCAATATTCTGATGATGATGGCTATGATGAACAAATGCTCTCTAGCAGTGACAGGGAGGATAGCTTCATTCATTGTCCACGATCCCCCAGTTTTAGGGATTATTTCATTGACTCTGATCAAGACTCATCAAGGCATCATACCCCTAACAAATTCTTCTTTAGCGGTGAGTTGCCTTGCCTCACAAATTCTTTGCATGAATTAGCTAATCAAACAATTTGTATAATCTGTGAGGTTGTCTTTTCTTTGAAGGTGATGCTAATGATCATGAGATCAACAAATCAGAGACATGGGCGGAATCTCAGAATACCAACAAGGTAATAATTCAAAGTTCTTGTCTAGCTAGCCAAATACATTTGATTAATTGATGAATATTAATTAGCTTAATGTTGTTTATAATTATTACGTTGCGCAGCAACAGAGAATATCAGAAGCTGATGAATTAGTGAAAAAAGAGAGCAAAGGATCGAGATCATCAGGAATTAGGGGTGTGTTAGGCAAGCAATCAAGACTAAGATCCTACTTAAGCGTCTCCAATTGGCACCACCACAACAGTCCAATCTCATCACCCTCTCAACAAAATCCCTCAAAACTGGTTGCTGCTGAAAATTAATTAATTACAGCAGCCTCATGAGAGTAGATCATATCGATTATATATAGGATCTATTGACACAAAACACAAAGAGGCTTTCTTTCCTTCATTTGTTCAATTTCCTCATTTTTTCAATCTCCCTTCCCTTTCCGTACATCATACATGTATATGTAACATGCAACATATAATATGTAATATGTACGTTTAACGTATCTTTTCTCCCATTTTTACCTCAATTGATCATTAACATGCCTTACTCTCCATGTATATATAGTTGCAATCCGGCTATAAAATACATGATTCATGCATGCATGCATGTGTGTATATATATATGTGTATAATGTACATACAATTGTTTCATATGGAGATTACTAATTAAGATGTGCGTAGATACAATACAATTATCTGTTTCACATGGAGATTGCTAATTAGGATGTGCGCGGATACAATACAATTATCTTCCATGATTGAAAGCTTTCTGTTACTTATTATGTTTGCACCGACCTGTGGCTGGCTTTGTGTCCTATCCTAAGGAAGACAACGTTACGTATGATCTGAGTCTCAGGGCTCAGGTTGTGCTTCAAAAGGCGGCTAGCTGCTTTTTGAAAATGACAGCTTCATCTTTCGTCCCTTGGTCTCTTTCCTCTCGCTTATGCTTCAAGAAACGTATAACATGCCTTTTTTGAATTTTGACCCACGAAAGTCTTTATTCAAACAACAATAATATCTTCCACATATCGCTTTCATATTTATTTCTCACCGTCGCTCCTCTCCTTGTATATTATCCTATAATTAACTTCAAACCAAACCGCAGTATAAATGAAAAAAGATAATTAAATTTGAACAAAGACCAATTAAATTTGTGTCTTCAAAAGGCTTCCTCAGTAGTGGGAGAAGGCCAATCTCAATTTTAGCCTTACCTTCTCAATCATTGTATTACCCCTCTCTCTCTCCCTTCTAATTTTTTAACGAGAGGATAGTTAAGTTCATTTGTACGTAATTACAAGTTATCTAAAATGTCCTTGACGATTTGACGATGGTAGATAAGTTATAAACCCTCATTAATTTTGGATTAGAAAAGAATGACTTGTGCGACCATATCATGTGCACCAAGCATCATGCCCATAAGTCCTCTTGTTAGTCATTCCTATATATATATATATGTGTGTGTGTGTGATGGAATTTACCACCATATTCCGTTGCTTCTTGTCAATCAAAAGGAATTAACTAAACTCACATCGTAAGTGACCTTTGTTTTACAATTAATTATGCATGAAAGATAATTATTTGCTTATTTATTACTCGTTATATAATAATTTACATGTTTCACAACACAAAGATGAAATTAATTAGACATGTGAGTAATGGAAACCCTACCACCTCTCTCATCTCCAAGTTGTGGTCAATAATATAATACAATTCTACGAATTAGATTTTACAGTACGCTGGAACCCAAATTACCTACATTATTATTTACCTCTGCTCCTTGTCTTGCAAGGGATTTCAACCAAAGTCGGGGGCAAAACAGATAATTTCAGATCAGTGGAGGTGTGTGGATCTGACCCACCCACCGGCTTGGTCAAAGTAAGATAGTTTTCGTTCTAGAACCGCTTCTTCCTTGTCAGCAATATCTGACTTTGACCGTCATCCGCTTCTGTCAATGTCATTTTCAGCAACCACTGTTTCGTCGCCACGTCATACTCCAGCAGATCTCCTCCCCTAGATAGACGCCTACTATATTTTTCCCCCTCCAATGCCACGACCCAATGCTGGGAGAAAACTTACTTGCACTGGTTTGTTATTTCCTACTAATAATATTATGTCATGTGAAAATATTATTAGGTGTGTCATAACCCTAATTAGGCAGAAGAGTAAAATAGTACTATTTCCGTTTCATAGAAGCATTTCTCCGATGCTTGAAGTCTTGAAGCTACTCCCTCGAGCACTCAGATTACCGAATTGCCCATCAGGATACGTGTCCCTTTGTCAGTGCGCGCTTTTTCACTTTGGTAAATGACGTGGGAATGATCCCATTTTCCCCCTTTGCTCATTTTCTTCTTGTTTTCTCATTTCATTTCCTCACCTATCTTTCTCGGTTTCTCTCTCTTTCTTCGTTGATCTGCTACGAGTCGTTTTGAATGATCCACCAAGCTTTTACCTCTTTCTCCTTGGTCTTCTCCTTCTTCAATGTCGTGGCAGCTTTCGAATTAATCTCAGTCCTCGTTTCGTAGATTTGGAGCCGAGCGTCTTTGAATTCCAGGGAGACAAGAAAGGATTTGATTTTCGACACTCTGAGTCGCTCTGAGTCTTTGTTTCGGTCATTGCGATAGGGTTTTAAGGAAATGAAGTCTTCGCTTGGTATGCTTCGGAGATTCGAACTGCACAGAAACGATGCCAAAGATAAGAGAGACGTTCAACCTTTGGCTCAGGTCGATGAGCTCGCTCAGGCTGCTCAGGTACTCTTTTTCTTTTTCTTGTCAATTAATTTCAAGTTTTGTACTGTGCTCGAACTTTGCTTGTTATGTCTAAGTTGTTGTCTTAGGAACTTTGACTAAGCTGAATACTCCTCGAGCTTCAAAAGCGAATTTGGACCTTTCTATGTTTATTTGAGAAAAATAACTTCATATAGTATTCATTCCGGAATTGAAAAAAAATAAATGCTTTGAACTTTTTTAGGGCTCTTGAAAAATACTGGATCTTCGCGTCAGTAAACAGACAGATGATTAATTTGACTGTGAATTGAACTACTTGGCACGCCGGATATGATTATGAAGGACTTAGGGATCCGGAAACTTTATATTTCTAACTTAACTAAAGAGTTCAAAAAGAACGTTTGTAACTTTGTTGTAGGTGGTAAACACTACTGTTAATTACGGGATTCTTATCAATTTAGTTGATAAGGTATTACTCTTTTGATTTGTACATTTTTCCAGGACATGCAAGATATGAGAAATTGCTATGATGGCTTACTTTCTGCAGCTGCCGCTACAGCGAACAGCGCATATGGTAAATACTCTGCTTAATTTCATTTGTACATTAGTTTAATCTTTTAGTTAGATATCACATTTTTTTCAATAAAGGAAATTTGGTGTGTCCAAGTTTGTTTACTTCATCTGCAAATTGTGTTTCACAATAACAAAAAGTTATATCTTCGTACATGACACACCACTTTTAACATATTATCACCCCCACATGAAAGCTTGATAAGAAGAAAAGTCATGCCTTACTCCTCCAAGAACGCACTAATAGGGTCAGCTTCTTAGCTAATATCACATTCAACTACCAATCATTGCAAATTTGAGAGCTTATTCTAAAATGGTTGGATATTCTCTGAGGAGATGAAAACAAAAATGGCTAGTGCTGAATTCTTGGGTGTATTTGCAAATCATATGAACTTATTGGAATTCCAAATGATAACTTTATGAGATTTAACTTTAAGATGATCAATTGGATGCCATATACTCTTGAGTCCGTATAAATACAGATTGCTTCCATTTGACTTGATCTGCACTTTCAGAGTTCTCAGAGTCACTGCGTGAAATGGGTGCTTGTCTACTGGAGAAAACTGCATTGCACGATGATGAAGAGAGTGGTAAGTCAATCAAAGTATATGACCCTGGTTTTTTTTTTTGTTTTTTTTGTTTCTCTTAGAAGGAAGTGGGTAAACCATCAGTCTTCTTTTTATTCTCCCATAGCTAAGATTATCAGAAGCAAAATAATTTTTCTGGAGTCGAACACCAAATATTTGTATTATCATGAATTTGGATTTTGAGGATTTTAAATTACATATGCCTTGTACTTTAATTGAAATGCAGGCAAAGTTTTTCTGATGCTTGGTAAGGTGCAGTTTGAACTTCAAAAACTTGTTGATAGCTATGTGAGTTCCTACTGTTGTTTTGCGCACAGCATGCCATTTTTTAAAATAATTTTCTTTCATTGCAATTCCTTCACCTTAACCTCGCATTAACCAATTGTTTTCTTTACTGCAGCGCTCTCATATATTTTTGACAATTACAAACCCATCAGAGTCTCTTCTCAATGAACTTCGAACAGTCGAGGTTTGCTCTTGTGGATTCTCTTATTTACTGATTACCTTACCAGATGCTTTTTCAATAAAACCTTAATCGCCTGCAGCTATTATACATGTTTCTATCCTAGAGGTTTCTGCTGTAATTTGATTATTAGGTGCTGTAGCTGTATTACAAATCAGAAGGAATTTCCAGTGCCTGTGGCATTCACACTTGCACAAAATCGTTACCCTTTTTTAATATAAGAAAAATCCCTACTCCTTTTACTAGCACATAAGGCACCATTTAACAGCAGTCTGAGAATAATAGGTTAGGCATGCCAAGAAAAAGGAAAAAAAACAGCAGTCTGAGAATAATATGCCATGTGCTAGGTGCAGGCTTGGCAATTAGTTTTTTGAAAACTTTAACCTGTAATCATATCGTGAAGATGTAGGCTTTAAAAGTCCAACGCAAACCACACCTACCTTTTTGAACCTTAGAGGTGTTCCCTTTGTCGAGATCTCATTTCCTTTGCTTGTGTATCACTGATTGTCCTTTCTTGTTATCTGATGCAGGAAATGAAACGACAATGCGACGAAAAAAGGTCTATTCTGTTCTCTTTTAACTATTTTTACTTAATTGAAGTGAATATCTTCTGAATTTGGTTTGTTGCGTAATCTTCAGAGATGTGTATGAATACATGGTGGCACAACAGAAAGAAAAAGGAAGGTCAAAACGTGGGAAGGGTGAACATTTTTCTTTGCAGCAATTGCAAGTGGCTCATGATGAATACGACGAGGAGGCTACATTATGTGTTTTCCGATTGAAGTCTCTGAAGCAAGGACAGGCCCGAAGTCTTCTAACACAGGCAACTCGTCACCATGCTGCTCAGGTTTTCTTTATCTGTCGAACCAACATTAAAACTTCAATACCTCACGTTCTTTTGTTAGTTTGATGCAAAGTTAGCATTCTTGTTCTTTGTTTGTTCTTTGAATCAGTTGAATTTCTTCCGGAAAGGACTTAAATCACTTGAGGCTGTTGAGCCGCATGTTAGATTTATTACAGAGGAGCAACATATTGAATATCAATTCAGTGGACTTGAAGATGATGGTGGGGATGATGGTGAGGATAATGGCGAGGATAATGGTGAGAATAGCAACGATTCTAATGAAGATGTAGAATTGAGTTTTAACTACAGATCAAGCAAGCAGGGGATTGATATCACCTCTGCATCAAGGAATTCAATGGAGGTGAGTGTGTAATGTAATTAGCAATTTGTGTTAATTGACGAGGTGCTATACTATCTCTGTTTAAGATGTTAAAATGTAACCTACCTAAATCCACCCAACTATCAATCAGCTTGGTCGTTCAGTCAAAGCAAGTGCCACTGCTGGTGGTGGTTTCAATTGTTGTTAGACATAGTGCGCATATTGTGAACCTTTTTGGTGATTTGAATTTCGTTGTCATGTTGTATTTTTGTTCTTATGATCTGCTGGCTTATTTTTCAGGTTGATGAAGTGGGACTTTTGTCTCCTCAAGCTTCAAGAGTGGAACACGCAGATGTATGATTTCATTGCCTTTTGATTGGTAGATTTGAAACCAAACTTCAAAAGCATGAATGTTAGTCCCTGAATTTCAAATATTGTATTCATAATTTTTTTTCCTTGCAGATAAATCTGGATAAAAATCAATGGGATCTGAGGGTCTCGAGTAGAGAACCTAGAATAGGCAGCCACTCGGCCCCAATTTTTGCAGAGAAGAAGTTTGATCCAGCTGAAAAAGCTAGACAACTGCAAGCATCAACTGCACGGAAGTCTAATACATATGTGCTGCCCACTCCTATTGATGCAAAGGGTTTGATTTCTTCAAGAACAAGCAGCATGGTTCCAGTCACAAGGCCAAGTGGACGAACCCACAACTTATGGCACTCTTCCCCATTGGAAGAAAAGGATTCTGGTGATGATAACCTGTCAGGACCGACTTTCTTAAAAGCTCAGTTGGTACAAAAAGAGAGCAACAGTAATAATACCTCCACCCAACTACCTCCTCCGCTGGAGGGACTTACACTTCCACAGCTTGATACGTTTAATGCATCTGATACCAAAAAGATTAAGAGACATGCTTTCTCTGGTCCAATAACTAGTAAGTCATCATCGACAAAGCCTGTGTTATATGCTAGTGGTCCCATTGCATCAAGTGAACTACCTCAACTAGTTTCTGGAATGCTGTCTCGTTTACCAAATCCCCAACCTTCATCTCCAAAAGTATCCCCAAGTGCTTCACCTCCCCTTGTTTCTTCACCCAAGATAAGTGAGCTTCATGAGCTTCCTAGACCCCCAGGTAGTTTTGGTGTGAAACCAACAAAGTCTTCTGGATTTGTTGGTCACTCTGCTCCCCTGGTCTTGAGAAATCAAGAATTTAACGTGCCTAATAAAATCCCTTCAGTGACATCAAACATGGCATCACCTCTTCCTACTCCTCCACCATTGGTTGTCCCTAGAAGCTTCTCCATACCTTCAAGCAATCAAAGAGCAATGGCGTTGCATGTAGCAAGACATTTGGAGTCTCCTCAAGTTCCAGGCAAGGCTGAAGAAGTTGCTTCACCTCCGTTGACGCCAATTTCCCTATCAAACCTGAAACCAGTATCCACTGTTTCTGAAGTGGCCTCGCACTCTAGTCCCATCCGAGGTGAGCATTCCATTTTCAGTATTTCCTCACCAGTTGGTGTTCCCTTGTTATTCTTAGAATTAAATTGCTCCTGCATGGCCGTGTATATATGATGGGTGTCGGATGTGGGAACAGTTCAGTCCTTCATCTTCACCATCACAGCCAATTGATCATTTTTGGTAATTCTAATTTTGAACATCTTCAGTGGATGCAGGTGGGAGCTGATATCATAAAGATTGGGTGAAGCAGTGAATTTTTTAGGTTTGCCCTTAAGATTGTTTTGGGTCTCATTGTTTTCATGTTAGGTACAGAGTACGGGTTTGTAAATATGTTGGTTGGGTGTATTGTTTAGTTTCTCATCTCAACCTTTTCCTTTACCCTTTGTTGTTGCTTATGATGAGAAGTTGAGAACTAAACTCTACGGAAATTGTGTCTTCACGATGTATCATATATATCTTCAAATGAAGAATTTTGTTAGATGTCCCATCCCATGACAAATCACCAGTGGCGTGTGTTGATCGTTGGTAGAAAATACCACTTCTTTGATCTCCAAGACTGTTTTTTATATTTATTTTTTAAATGAACTAGAATGGACTTTATAAGTCGGCCCAACCTTAATCTAACCCATTTCAAACGTATGTGGTTTGCACCTGACGGTCTGTTCTGCAGAGCGTCGACTTCTAGCGTTATAAGTAAGGAGACGGCGTCGTTTTTCAAGATGTTTAAAACCAACGTGTCATCTTCTCAGTCTCCTGGGGGGATAAGGAAATGACAGTTTTTGACAGTTACATGACTGTTTAAGTCGTTAACAACTCAACGCCTTATAATCCCTTCCCTTCCCTTCTGAGTCTCCTGAGTGTACCATCGAGGAAGGAAGCAAGCGGTGAAATAAGCAAAGCCAGTGACAGTGAGCCATGGGGATAACAAGGACCCTCCTCCATTCCTCTTGCTCTAAGCTCCCATTCCAAACTCCCTTCCTCCACTTTCAATCTCAAGTGGTGGCTTCGAGTTTCTCAAGCAGCCGTGAGATAACAAGGACCTCCTCAATTCCCATTATATCTCGCACCCGCTTCCGAAAACCCATCGCAGCGTCATGCTCTGCCTCCGATGGCAGCAATTCCAGTCAGTTCTTCTCTTACCCTTTCTATTATATAATTTTTCTTGGATTTTCCATCTTTCCATGAATTTATGATTTTATGCTTTCACGCATGCCAAGTGTTTGATAATTGCTTCTGTTCTGGCGTTGGTCAGTTTGATTTGATTTGTAATTACTTGATATTAATTTCTACTGCGATCCTTTTTCAAATCCTGACACTCACGACTCATCTCTTTTCTGACTATGTCTTGTTTAAAGGTTCAGCAACCAAGGTTTCTGTAGCTGACCCCTCTGTTGCTTTGAAGGTGAGATCTCTCATTCTCTTGGAAACAATAAGATTTGACAAGACATGGAAGCCCATGCCAATTAACAGGGCTAAAATTTGGGTTTCCCTTTTTCCCTCTCTTTCAACTTTCTATGAAAACCAAAAGGGGCTTCATGGATTTGCTCGTGTTTTATGATGATCACGGGTAGACTATTATTCTAGGCCGGTTGAATTTTCAAAACTAATTCATTTGCTTCTGGTTTAAAGTGCTGATTGTAACTGTTCAGTTTTAATTCAGAAGAAGGCAATGGATATATCCCCCGAACTCAAAGGAACTTCCATATTTCTTGTGGGTAAGTATTACTTAATGCTTTGTATTGTAAAGCATTCAATACTCAAATCTTGTGATGATCCAGTCTGTACTTACCCATATCCTCTCCTTTTTGGCGGAAAGGCATGAAGAGCTCCATAAAAACTAGTTTGGGGAAACTCCTAGCCAATGTGTTACGGTATTATTACTTTGACAGGTACCTATATATGCTATATATTTTAAAGATCAGGATAAGCTTCTTTGCTCTAGATGTATCAGCTGAACCTGTAATTTGTGTTCTTCTATAACCAGTGATAGTTTGGTTGAGGAAGCTGCTGGCGGTGAATCTGCTGCCAAATCTCTAAGGGAGACTGACAAGAATGGTTTTCATGAGTCTGAGGTGATAGTTTTCGACATATTTGTTGTTTTCTCACACCATACTTTGAATAGAAGTTCACTTGTTATTACTCCAAGTAAACAAAGTATCTGTGGCTGACGAAGCTGCCTGAGGCCAACACTAGAGCTCTCATGAAACATATTCTGAAAATTGGATTGCTGACTTATCGATGCAGATTATTTGGTCCTTTTTATGCATATCTAAATTGACATGTTTCTGCAGACTGAAGTATTGAAGCAATTATCATCCATGGGTCGATTGGTGGTTTGTGCTGGAGATGGTGCGGTTCAGAGTTCAACTAATCTGTAGGATTATCAAAGAACTCTTTGCTGATATTATTATTGATATATTTATCATGGTTAATGCTAGCTGTGCAATTTTGACTCACTTCAGAACATATATAGGGCTCTTCTGAGATATGGGATCTCCATATGGATTGATATACCTGTAGACTTGGTTGCGAGGGGGGTGATCGAAGATCAAAGTCAGCTTCCTGCATTCAACCTATCTGCTTCAGCATCTTATCCAGAGGTCAACTCTTCCTCCTCAAAATTATTACTGTATACAACGTGCTTCTTTGTCCTCAGAAGGAAAGTAAATTGACTACACCATTTAATTGCGTGGGGGGGAGGGAGGAAAAAGAAACCCCTGTTGCGCAGCTGTGTCTTCCAGATAATTGACACTTTTGATGTATGATAACCAGGTTTTGACTCACCTAAGTACTTCATATGAAGAGGTCAGAGGTGGATATGAAACAGCTGATGCAACGATTTCCGTTGAAAGTATATCTCCGTGACCTTTTCTTGTTTTTAATGTACTCAATTATGTTTCCTCAATGGTTCTAACCATCGTTTTGTCCTAGCAGAACTAGCTTGTAAATTAAGTTATGATGAGTTTGGTGATGTAACCACTGAAGACATGGCTTTGGAGGTAAGGAGGCTAGTTTTGAAATGCGTACGATTATCTGAAAATTAAAGCAAACTAATTTAAGGAGACAAACCCTTGGATTCTTTGCTCTATGTGAATTCAGGTTCTCAAGGAGATAGAAAAACTGACTAGAGTAAAGAAGATGATGGAAGCAGCAGCAAGGCCTTTTTAACGTTCGAGATGGTATAGGGCGGCATTTTCATCACTTGGAACCACTTTCTGCTCCAACCCTTAATTTGCGGGTTGCAGGCTGAGGTTTTGTGCATGCCTTGTGTAGGCTGCACAGTGGATTAGAATTTGGTGTACTGATACATTGATACATTGACACATTGGTGTACGTAAAACAGCTTTTCTCGTCTTTTCTGAAACTGGAAGGAAAAAACAATTGAATTAGCAGAGAACGAGGCAGGATAAGTGGATGAGGTACTGAATAATTGAGTACACTTAGTTTACATGTGTCAACGTGAATTGGTTGCCACGTTAAGCTTGGAGCAGAAGCTTTTATATAATATTTGATTGTAAATTTGCCCTCCATGCGAAATGATTGTTGCCATTGAATTTGAATACTCTTTATGAATCTGGCAAATTGATAACATCTCCGAACATGATGATGATAAAGTACACCTTCCTTTCGAAGCCAAATAAAAATAATAATTAAGAAAAAAAATTGATATCAGAAGAAACGGCTATTAATGGCGTACCGTGTATCTATTCTATTGGACCCATTCAATGGCATTTTTTTTCTTCTTCCCATTTGGTGTATTCTTTTTGACTTATTTGAATGATAAAGGGAACTTAATGGGATGGGCCTTCACGTTGAAGATAAGGCAAACATGCTATGCCATGGCTTTGTAGGCCTCTGCTAACTGTAAATAAATTTATGTGGATTTGTGGGTAATTATCTCAAGCAAATCAATTGAATGTGATAACGAAACTAATTGATGGATTCTTGAGATAACGTAATGTTCTGCCTTGTAACTCGTTAATTACCCGAAATTCACAAATTTGAAATCTTATATTTTTAATTATTCAGAGAAATAAAATTCGATCGCCTTTTTTTCAAAAAATTATTCAAAAGAAATAAAAAGACATGCATCTCGCGGATCAAGAAACTGAATCCCCATTGGTTTGGAGATTTGAAATCAAAATTTCCATTTTTTAAGATTAAAAAAAAAAAAGATAAGCGAAGTGATTTTTACGTAATTATTTTGCTGAGTAAAAGAGAGAAAATAGTGAGAAAGACGATAAAACAAAAAACGGAAATAGGGAAGTTTTTCTCTGGAGGACACTTGCTAGGGTAGGCAAATACAAATACTGACTCTCGCTGGTGGTCCCGCCCGAAGGACAAAGAAAGTGAAAGGCAGGTAAAGATTTTTTGAAACAGTGAGGGAGAGAATGGGCTGAAAGCGTGGTAAAGTTACAAAAAATAAAAATAAAGAAAAAAACTTAAAAAAGGAGGAGTGGAGAGAGAGAGATTAGAGCGAGCGCAATGGTGCGGATGGATTATATGCGTGTTTTAATATTAATTGGTTTTGAAAATTACAGCCGAGAAAAAGAAATGGAAATGGAAATGGTGATGATGCTCGTATTTTGGGATTATAAACTGGGCCTCCCTCCCTCCCTCAGACTCTGTCTGCCTACAACCGCAAACTCCAAACCCTTCAATCCTTTTCTTCAATCCTCTCTCGCGCTCCCTACCAAACCCTACCTCTTCCTCTTTCTTTTTCTTCTTTTTCAACCGCATCCCTGTTCACAAACATTAACATCATCATCGCTGTTATTCATTATAGGATCTGATTTCTCATCAGTTTGCATGAAAGATTTTTTGAGATGATTCACCTGCTTGATTGTTTGATCACAGCTTTTCTTGGTGCGTCTACTCATAATCGGTGTTCTATCGGATTCTGGTTTTATCTTCATCACCTATCTGCCTTGTTTATAAGAATATGTTATTAGTAAAATGAGTCAAATGACCTTCTCTGTCTGCTTTTCATAATCCTATATGATCATAAGCTTCCATTATGCCAGACTAAGTTTCCTTCTGCTTAGATTTTGTTTACTCTTGCTCTTGGTCCAAAATCGTAGTCTAAGTTGCTTCCAAGTGGATGATGCAGGAGGGGATGGGCTGAATGTGAGCCCTACCAAGTAACCCCTTCTGTACTTTCTTGTTGATACTTGTTTTCTAGTAAACCTCTTCTATACCACTTATACTTCTTCCTCAGATCAATGGTTGATTATGCTTGGACGCTTGTTTAATATGTCTTAGATCGACTTCACAAAATTTGCTATGCGATAAGTGTTTGTATATTGTTGTGTATGTGCATTTGATCTGTTGGAATTGTTGGAATCAATTGGCTCAACTTTTGATCAATGTAAACTCATATTTTTCTCATGTTCGTCTTTTTCGAAATGGTTTAATCTTTAAAAACTAATTCATGTCAATATTGTTTCAGGCGTACGTACTGATTCTTTAGGAAATCATGAATTATATGAGTTTCATTACTTGCTGGTTTGGAGGTCTGAAGATCTGTGCTACTTGTGATCTTCACAGTACTTCAATGCGCTTCAATATGTCTTTGGAGAGAGTGGTAACTCAAATGTTTGAATTCTGGCTGCCTTTGGTAGGTACCTAGTAGTTGCTTCGGCAGAGCGGTTATATTTTCAATTGAAGGGAGAAATTTAGGTGTGTATCAGTTATACTGATGGCATAAGAAGTTGGATTTTCACTTTTTTTTTTTGTTGGATTAGAAATAACAGCTCTGTTAGTTGATGAACTGATCTGATACTATTCCCTCAACCCCCATCCTAAAAAGAAAACAAAATAAAAATAAAAGAGTTAGGAATTAGTTCCTGTGAAAATTGGACATGGGATTGCCTCAAGTTCCCTCGACTGGAACTTCTGAGGAAGTACTAGCTGCATCTCTGGGCTCGTTTTTACAAAGCCCGCCTCGGTTTTCTAGTATGAGCACGTGTGATATGGATGGGATGCATGGTGGGACTGCAAGTCGAATGGGGGGAAACCCATTATGCTCCTCTTTAGGAGATTACCAGACAAGAGCCTCTCTGGAATTTTCAAGGTTCCCTGATGATTCATTTAGTTTGAGAAGGACCACAGAAGTTACCAACAATGTTCATGGTTTGACAATTGGTTCTGTTGATAAATCTGGTCAGATCACTCCGAAAAATGGGCGGAATATTCAGACCCCTGCTTCTAGGATTGTAGGATTTGAATCAAGTGGAACAAGTTCTCTAAATGATGGCTCCAAGGGTGTTTTATCTGGTCATGTTCACTCTTCTTCTGCAGTTAATGTTACAACTAATGATGTTGTGAACAGTGGATCGCTAGTCAGGAAGCGGTTGTCGTCACCATTGACTGGTATGCTTTTTCCAGATCAGTTTAAAGGTGATCATTTAGACATTGGTTGCAGAAATTCTCAAACAAATTCTCCCACTGTGAGTGAAAATTTCGGTGCATCTATTGCACATGATTATAAGAAAGCAAATGTTGGGAGCAAAAATCACTTTACAATGCCAACTTGGTCTCTATCTAGTTGCTTGGAGCAGAAGAACATGCCACATGATATTAGTAGTATGGAATCCGTTATTTTCACCGATGGCCCTTTGCTGGAAAACAAGGATCCCCTACCTCATAATAGTTATTCATCTTCACCTAGACTTTTGAGAGAGTTGACTAATGCAAAAGCCCAGAGTGGGGCAATATTCATATCTCCACGAGAAGTGATCTCGCCTTCGCATTCGTTGTCACCTCTTGGCCCCAAGTTGTCTGAAAGATTTAAAACCGTAGGGGGCTGCAGGACTGCTAATAAAGAGTTGGAGGATTGTCATTCAACCTTAAGGAATGTAAAACAAACACTTGACAAGTCTGATCCAGACATTCTATTTTCCCCTGAAGTAGGGGAGTTTAGGATTGCTAGTAAATTATTTGAAGATGTTGATATTTTTCAGAAGGACTTCCATCCATCTTCTCTAGAAAATGGTACTGGCGTAAGTTATTCTTTGTCCCAAGGGTCCCAATGCATGAGATTTGTTAGAAGTTTGAGTGGACTTCCTGTTCGGAGATCCCTGGTTGGTTCATTTGAAGAATCTCTACTGTCTGGTCGATTCTTATCAGGGAAACCCAGCCAGGTTAGTGTGAATATTTCTGTTGTGTAAGTAATCCTGTGCATTGTTCATTATTGCAATGTTATAACTGCTGGAATTTTATACTATGTAGAGAATCGATGGTTTTCTGGCTGTACTAAGCATCACTGGGGGAAACTTTTCTCCACAATCACAGAAGCTTCCTTTTTCCGTAACTAGTGTAGAAGGAGACTGCTATTTATTGTATTGTGCATCCATACACCTTGCGGGAAATTCTGCATTGAATAGGAGTGGAGGACAAAAGCTGAAACGAGGCCTTAGCAATGATGGTTCCCAGATTGTAACAAGCCGCCTGCGCATTCCTGTGAAGGGCCGTATACAACTGGTATTTTGTTTCTTCTCTTTCAAAATTTGTTGAAATTGCTCACTTTGTGTAGCATGTTACGTTGCGATTGGCAATTTTTGTTAGTCATTAAATTAATCTCTCTGTACTTGCTTTATGCAGGTTCTAAGCAATCCAGAGAAGACACCTATTCATACTTTCCTTTGCAACTACGATTTAAGTGACATGCCAGCTGGTACCAAAGTAAGTTGCGTGTGGTCAGCTGAACTCCCCTTACAGTATCTTGTTGCCACCATATTGATAACACTAGCAAATTTTGTGTTAAATGCAATTTTTTGAAAAATTTACTATAAGATCATAGTATTTTATAGCAGAGAGTTTTGGTCGTACATCCAAGGGGAACAACTGTGCAACTTAGAACTTAAGTTGATGATCATTGTCTAGAATCTCACTTTAAATCCATTCATAAATACACATATATGGAGATATATTTTTCTAACTTTATGCCGTGCATGCTTAATAGTAAATCTCAACTTTCAAATGATATCGTCTTTAAGCTGCAGTTATTGGTTAGCTTTTCAAAAGATTTTGGTTGTTATAAATGCGATGAATGGGAAAGTTATGGACTTCAAAATTATGTTTGTTATGTTGCTTATGATATACCATGTTCCTGTGGCTAATTAATTGTTCATTTTGTTCAATATCTTTTCATATCTGTTCACATCAAAGTAGACCTTCTTGCGCCAGAAGGTCACCTTAGCTTCATGTAGCCCAACTGCTACACAGTCAAAACAAGGGAAGACTGATTTACATGCAAAAGTCATAGACAATAAGGAATTAAAGGATCCAGCTGGAGTAGACGTTGTGCAAACAAGAAGATCTGTAGATCAGAAAACCGAAATTAGAAGTGAGTGCTCTGATTTAGTGGATTCAATCGATGAGGGGGATATGTCCAAGTTATCCCCTAAAACAGGAAGGGTATGCACTCGTTCGTTCATTGTTGAGAAG